AGTTATTGCTTTGTATTAAGGACATGAACCTGTCTCTTATACACATCTTCCTAGTAGGGTAGGCCTACCTTAGGCCCAGTATCTAAGCTAGAGGCCTAGGCCCTACATCTATAACAATTATTGTAATTATTATCATTTGACTTTATAATAAAGGATATATAACTCTACTTGCTACTTTAATGATCTGAATACAGTAAATGCTCGAAGTTCGGCACAGTTTTCACACTCCAAACCAAGTAGGACCACTCTTGTTTACATTTTCATTTAGGCCGTACAAACCGTTGATGGCGCATTAATCCTTATTCCAATATTCACACTGTCCATTCACACAGCACACTATTCGCACAATTTGGAACAAAACAATGCAGTACTATTACTAACAACTAATTCATTAACAGTATTTTAATAAGCGATATATTGTGGACGACGATGATCATAAGGATTAAATGAAGATGAAAAGGGGGAGGATTAGGCCTATAGGGCCTAATGATGAGAATGTGATGATGCGGATGATAATTTTGTGGAAGATGACGACGATGGATGATGATGATTACATGTCGATGCCAACGACGACGGCGATGCCATGACAGCCCATTAGGTCAATGCCGTCATCATCATTGTTTTCAACAAAAGAGAAAATTCTCATTACCAGTATCGCATTTTAATTATTTATTGTGAATTACACAACACTGAGCTATCTTATCACCGGAACAATTCTCTTTTTACCACAAACTTCAATAAATAAATAACACTCATTTTAAACATAGTGTTCTTCTTAGCACATTTTTAGAAATCATATACTGTACATCCTAGGCCTATGTGTAAACATGGCTTCAAATATTAGGCTCATGCGCCCATGAATCACTGCAGCAAAAAAACAGAATCACTGAAATCCAAAACCAAAACACCTAAAATATTACGTAATCGTTAAAATAAAGTAATGGTTCATCCAATATCTAACCGTGGGGGTATAACATTATTTTGTACCTCCATAAAATTATCTTTATGAAAAACAAAACAAAACAAAAAAAAAATTTTTTTTGATGCTAGATAATTTTATCTCTTTACAATCGAATAATATTATAGTAAAATATTTTATACTTTAGAATCGAATACAGTAACATAATAGTAAAATATGAATAGGCTTTATATTCATGACAATTTATGTGACAATTTGACAGGAACCATCAATGTAAAGAAAACTCAAAATACGTTCGATTTTAATATACTGGCACTTAAGCAATGAAAACAACCTTTCATTGCATCTGTATACTTTTAAAATATTATTCCCCTACGTTATTCTATTGTTGCAGTATATAAATATTATAAGTTATAGACTATTATAAAATAAATGGTTTCTGCTGGCGTCTAAGAAAGATAAAGCTTGACATGTGACATTTTGGCGAAATAAGGCATGAACCATAATATATCCTTTATTAACCACCTGCAATCTTAATACACAATTTATAAATACGATATGCAAATTAATATTCCTAAAACTTTATTCTTGTGCCGACAACGTAAAATCTTGAAAATAAAAACCAAATAAAAAAAAAAAATCACTATTATTGGCATCTGCATAAAAATCACTACATCATGATCACTAATCAATGATAAAAGCGACTAAAATTGAATAATAATCATTCTCATTCTCATAAAACGTTATTCTTGTGTCAACAACATAAAATCTTGAATATAAAAACTTAAATTCAAATCAAAAAATCACTATCATTGGCATCTGCATAAAACATCATGATACCTATCACTGATTAAAACGACTAAAATTGCATAGGCCTAATAATCACTCTCATTCACTTCATCATCATTACATTTAATTTTCTCTCCATCATGCTCTAGTTCTTGTAGTAATGTCTGTTTAGTTATTGCTTTGTATTAAGGACATGAACTGCGATATTCATCATTTGGATCATCCATGGAGCGTGTTCTCATGAAAGGGTGTCTTACAGAGGGTGTTCTCATGAAAGGGTGTCTTACAGAGGGTGTTCTCATGAAAGGGTGTCTTACAGAGGGTGTTCTCATGAAAGGGTGTCTTACAGAGGGTGTTCTCATGAAAGGGTGTCTTACAGAGCGTGTTCTCATGAAAGGGTGTCTTACAGAGGGTGTTCTGACGCCACTGCTCTGACGCCAGGATGATCTGATGCTACGATGTGTATTTGAAACCAGGTTCCTTGTGTCAGAGTATTTTGACGTCATATAATAATGACAGTGTGTTCTGATACCATCAATGTTCTGAGAGAGTTATAATGACGGCGAATGCTCTATCGCCAGGATGCTCTGTGTTTAATGAGCTGAATCCTGGATATTCTAATACGGACGAGAGTTCTTACGCAAGAGTTCTAACGCTATGATTTATTCTGAAGACGTGTGTTGATACCAAGGTTTTCTGATGTCAGGGTGTTTGCTTCATCCTATGTGCTTTCAGTCTGTGTGCCTTTAGCATTTTATGTAGTCGTATAGAGATCCTTCCCATCAATGAGACTGTGTTCTTTCATTCGAAAGTAAGTGAACCTCTTCGTCGTTTGCATCAATCGGTTTATATTCAAATCTTTTAAAAATACGGCATTTCCGTCTTCTGCAAAAGAAAGATGTAAAAGAAATACATTGTCACTAAATACAAATTATGAAAATGATGATGGTGGTGATGATGATGATGAGGCTGTCAATATATATGATTGACAGCCAATAGCGAGCTAACGCCCGCATCTCTTCATAGAACAATTGATAAACAGTTATGATGAGCATAAATAGTCACGACAGAGAACCATGGGGATCGCATTCATTCCTATTCCACAGAAAACTAATGCTCATGTTTGTAACTATTGTATAGGTCTCAACATAATTATTAAAAAAAATATTTTTAATTCTTCAACATGTTTTTTAATTGTTTTTTACATAGCGGTTTAGATATATACCTAATAGAAATAATTAGCTACTTGCAGTAAGAATAATCCCTGCTACAGTAGGTATATAACATCTTACATTTAAACTTAAAATTTCCATAGGCATAGGCCTGTCTATTAACATATAAATCACACATCATGTAAAACTTATGATTACCCAAATTTAAGTCGTCGTGTTTTATTTTTTAAATATTCCAAGCTTTTATCACTACCAACCTTTACTAATTTAAGCCAATGGTGAAATATCGTTGGGAAAGTTGCTTAACAAAATAAGAAAAATAAAAATAATTTTGAATCCGTACGGTATCTAACCAATTATTGATACCATAATTTATCGATAAAAACATCCATTTGATTAATTAAACAGCAGCTTTTCGAGTGGCGGTGCTGATAGAAAACTGCAGTGTTTTGGCACTGCGGCAGTGCCGATAGAAAATCGGAGCTTTTTTCGCACTGCGGCAATAAAGCTGATAGAAAATAACAGCTTTTTTCGCACTGTGGCAGTGCCGATAGAAAACAGCAGCTTTTTGGCACTGCGGCAGTGCCGATAGCCTCAGTCGTCCACAACACCAAACGTGTTTTAACCAGTACCGAGCGGATTATTTTTCAATCTCTGCTCTCATCCTATGTTTATGATACCCTTACATTTACTGTTAATGTCACTGAAGTATGACACTCTATTAACATACAGTAAGGAATATTAGTATTTCAAACTCGAATGAAAACAAAACAAATAAATGTGAATAGGGGCCTACGCCTAAATAATTATCAAGGGGTACACGGATTTTAACACGTAAAGTAAAGTAAACATAATAGGGTATAATACCTTTTACCACAATTAAATTCCCAAGACGTAAAGAAGATGATGCCTCCCCCAAGAATCAGATTCATTAGACCGATCACAGAAGCCATAAAAGCAAAGCTGTGTGTCTGCACCAAGCCTCCTCCAATAACTGGGCCAAGAAACGACCTGGGTAGAAAAGTAAAGTGAAAGAAATTGTTTAAGCAAATGGTTATTGACACAGGAAAATACTGGCAAATTCATCTAGTATCTATCTGCATGGCGCAGCCAGGGTAAAATTCGAAGGGGGTCAAGCCTTGCGTGTGCGCAGCGTCTGAGGCAAGTGTCATTTAGTTCATGGAGTTATTTAGTTACGGTACTCTGTAAATCTTATTATAAGAGGGTGGCTTACATGTCATATATTATTCTTGTCACAGTAATGATCATTTTTTTTATTTTGATTAATTTGAGGGGGATTCATCGACCTCCCCACCCCTCCGCCCATTCTGATAACTATGAGACTCATATCGATTTACATATATAGGCCTATGATTTACAAATAAAATGGTGCAGAATATTCATATTTAACATAATTAACTAAATAAGTATAAAAATTGAATATAAAAGATATAAGTAATAATAATAATAGAAATCTATGATATTATAATTCAGGATTTCCTTCCCCGGGCCGAATTGGTCACGGGCGCTGAGGAAATCCATGCGACACCCGCATTTATGCAATCAGGTTTTGCCAGCTTGGCACAATACCTAAAAATTACTGGCGATCAATTTAATTGGAAAAAAGAATTATATAATAATTATATATATTATTTTTAGTAAATTGTCGGTAAACAAGTATAACTGAATTGTTTTTGGCGTGTCTCGTTAAAAGTAGACAGTTTATTATTTGATCGTTTTAAATGACCAATTCAATATTTGAGGAGCGGCTTAATTGAAGGTTTCAGACTACATCTTTACATGAACTATGAATTAAATTCACTAGGACTGAAAAACGTAATTTGTCGTAACGTTACCCAAGCGAATATGCACTGTTGAACAAAGCTGACATCACACTGCACGTCGAAAGATTAGACGGCATGCCATTAAAAGTTGCACTGACTAGTAGGTCTTGATAGGAGGGGGAAAAGGCGAGTCCAAACGCAATACTCACTAATATAATACCCACACAGATCAATGGTACAGAACTATAAAATTAATAATATATAAAGTATGATCAATTTGAGGAACTCAGTAAATGAACATGACATTATTCTTATTCATGTAATCATTTAACACACACACACGTGTGCACACACGTGGTGAGATTACCTTTTAAGATTCAATGGGGGCCATGGGCCGAGCATGATGTAACCTAGGCAGAAGAGTACATTACCGCAAATGACTAGTAAGCGTGGCGAGGCGCGTTTCTCGGATAACCATCCGAAGAATGGAGCCGTAGATCCGTATACGAGACCAAGTAGTAGAAACACCAAACCAATCTCAACAGGAGATAACATGAACTAGATAAGACAAAAAGTAATATTTGATATTTTTTTCCTCTTCAAAATATTACATCATCGTTTTACACAGTATACAATATATATATATACCTGTCTCTTATACACATCTTTCTTTCATTCGAAAGTAAGTGAACCTCTTCGTCGTTTGCATCAATCGGTATATATTCAAATCTTTTAAAAATACGGCATTTCCGTCTTCTGCAAAAGAAAGATGTAAAAGAAATACATTGTCACTAAATACAAATTATGAAAATGATGATGGTGATGATGATGATGATGAGGCTGTCAATATATATGATTGACAGCCAATAGCGAGCTAACGCCCGCATCTCTTCATAGAACAATTGATAAACAGTTATGATGAGCATAAATAGTCACGACAGAGAACCATGGGGATCGCATTCATTCCTATTCCACAGAAAACTAATGCTCATGTTTGTAACTATTGTATAGGTC